CAAAGCAGATTATTTACCTCGGTGGGAGGAACAGGGAGAGACATATAGGATGGAACCAATCTGAAGGACAAGGCAGCTGATTTCTCCTAATTGGGTCTGACTGCCTCTCTTTGAACTGCTGCTGCGCCGCGGCTCTGTTTCCAGGCAAACTCTTATCTCTGGCAATCTGGAGTGCTGCTTCATTTCTCAGACAAATATCAAACCTCTCTCCACACTGGATTAGTTACAATTTAATACGATTTGCGCCGTTGCTGCTCACCAGAGCCTTTTTTAAAATTCTTTTGCCTTGAAGCAGAGGGAAGCCAAACCGGGCTTTTGGGTTTTGTCGGCGCTCCACCTTCCACATCAGAACACCCACACACAGCCACCCACACAGCTGTTCCCACCTGCAGCTCCACACACTTGCATAAGAGATCTCGATGTTTAAATAAGATCTCGATCTTAAACAAGGTGAGATGTGTCACGTATTTCCATTTGCTAATCTGCATTTTGAGAGCGAGTGAAGTATCTTGACATAAGGCTTGATTCCTCCGCTGTTTTTAAAGGTGCCATCACTCGACACAAGGAAACTCAGAAAGTGGAGCTGATTTGCATCAGAAACTAATGACGTTATCTCACCCTGCAGGGTTTTCTCTCCCTCCTCTTGCTTGACTTGGAATACACACGATTTAAAGATGCTACAGTGGAGTGAAGGACTTGTTGAGGTGGATATTTCCTTCGGCACACTATGGGCTGTCTGTCAAGACCTCCGCAAAGATGAGCTCTTCACTTGAGTGGCAGATGCTTTCTCTCAATAGCGTCCACTAACACCCCGAACCCATAGCAGCACGCTTCTTGCCTCTCTGTCTGTCTAGACGGTTATTGACAGCTTGCCTCTAGATTAGCTGAGTCCTTGGAAAGGTTGAGAACCCTCCTGCAGGACTCATGGCAGTTAACCCCTTTTCTTTCCCCACAAGCACAGCAGGCTTCAGCTCAAGATGTACACTTGAGTCCGATATGAAATGCCCTTTTATCTGATCGTCTCTAGAGTTACGTAACGCTGGGAGAGCTCCTCTGAGGAACAGCTTGAGCCAAACGTAGACGTGGGATTGAGTTGTGTCAGTCTGCCGGTGGAGAAAGAGCAAACTCCCGCCGTTTATTGGGGAAACGCTTCCGCTCCTCATGACTTCATTAAGCCGTGATGGAATAAAATTTGATCAAGATTACTGAACCGACTCGCTGCACAGAACGTCTCAACGAGTAGTCAGTGACACGGAAATGCTTCTGGGAATCTGTCAAGCAGTCGATAACCAATTGTGCTCACTTGTTTAAAACTCATCACCATCATTTTAGATTGTTTAAAATGGTTCCTGACTCTTCTGAGAGCTGCGCTGGTCTAGATAATGAATGAACCACTTAACATACAGTTTATTTAAAGTTAGAGAACTCCTCTTATTCTGCCCTGTCTGACTACTTCATATACATTCTGGCTTGTTGCAGCTCTTTATCAGAAGCTATATGTTTACACTGGGGGACATATTCAAACCTCAGACTCAGTATTTGTATTTGCACCTTCCCCCAAATGGAAATCTTTCCGATGCATCATTTTATACACATTTCACCAAAATCCAGCCTGACATATTTGGTGTTATGAAGCTTTGGGATTTCACTAGAGTGTAAAGTAAAGTTCTGTTGGTTTGAACAAAGTTTGTCTGCACAATAGGAGTTTGCAGCGGCTGCTCCTCCTTCAAGTTAGCGTCACGAGGGACGGCTGTCGGTCAGGCTGCTACTTTGGCCCTGAGTGAAATATCTCAACAACTTTTGGATGGATTGCCATGAAATTTGGAACATATATCCACTCTGTGTAGACAATGAATCCTATGACTTTGACAAGAAGAAGCAGCACAACAGCACAGCGTTTAAACAGGGAATCCTGAAACATGTCAAACATATGAGCCTTAAGTTAAGAGCATGAACCTTAAATTTGGGGGATTTCAGACAATATATTACAATTTATTGAATAATTAGGACGATTTAGGAGCTAGAGGAATAACAAAGTGTAATCTTTATCTGGGGGACAAAGGAAATCCACATAAAGCCAGGCTGGCATGTTTAAGATCTATATGTTTGGGAGAGCAGCTCTTTTGAGGTAATGGATCTTTGGTCCCATGACGGATCAGATGATATCTGCTCTCCAAGCTGTTTGAAGTCTCTACATATGTTTTGACCAGAACCTGTTGGAGTCAGAGAAGAAGGGATGTTGTCCTCTCTCCTGGCACTGATTACATATGCATGGTCTTAGCTCCAGTCATAGAAAGTGAAAACTCCTCCACACATTCAGTCACAGAGTCTAAGGGCTTCTGAGGCGGGCCATGAAGAGACTCCATCAGGAGCTTGGTGACGGGGATAGCAGAGGGAGGCAGACATGAATCCAGGCTGTCGATGCAAATGACAAAGCAACAGTGACACCAGCTAGACTTTCACAGGGATCGGACACACAGGAACCCCGCTGCTTCCTTTGCTCTGTCACTCAGAGAGCTCCTCACAATGAGCCAAAGTCGGCCCTGGGAGAAATCAACAAAAACAGTGTGAACTTCCATTTTGGGGTTATCATTGAGTGCTTCGTGCCAGCTTTGCAGGATCTGAATCGGAGCAGGGACCGTTCATCTGTTTGCCATAAAACCATGTTGTGATGGGGCAATTTTTGGGGAATTGTGTCTTCCAGAAGGGCATCCTTAGGATCCCTTCATACATATTACCAACACAGCTGACTAAAGAGATTTGACGCCAGCAAGTATAAAAAACCTCACATAACAGTAACACAGGCACCAGCTCTTCATAAAGGATATTTAGAACCCAAGAAAGAGCACCTGCCTTCCCCGCATTCACTTTGGGAGTCTAGCTTTGACCTGCCTGATGCTCAGGAGAGCTGTGGCACCGTTAGCATCTTGTGAATAACGTCCCTCTCTGATGGAAAAAGCACACACTTGGTCCCATATTGAAGCAAAGTGCATGGCCAGAATGTCACACTCTCTCACAGGTTGGGAGGGCTTATGGTACGGCAGCTCGCCCATCATCCTCACAAGTGCTGACCCCCTGACCTGTCCTCTAGCGCCACCAGCAGGTTGACATTTCAACAACAATTGATGGATTGCTATGAAATGAGATGCAGATGTTCATGTCCAGCCACCACATTTAACCCTTTCCTGCATATAACAAGTGCAGAAAAGATTGTTTATCGTAACCGGCTAACTAATAACATTGTCAAGATATATGGACATCAATTTACGAGCAGAACAGGTTTTACTATATGATAGTATATCATATTTTAATTAAATACAGGCAAATATGACCATTTCTGTTTACGTTGTGTGACTTCAATCAACTGCTTCTTCATGAAGTTGGCTTCGTGGATTTGACATTTTTGGGATTTGTGGGTTTACAAATAAAAAGTCAGACGTTTTGTTCCGTTGTGCTTTTTTTAGTTTGAGGTTGTAAATGTTCTGGTCCCTGGCAGTACACTCTCGGTCCTGTTCATCTGTAGTTTGGAACAATACAATATTGGAGTCTTTCATCCCTCAGCTGTTGTGCCTGTTGTTGTTTCTTATAATATGCATAAGCATATTTTAGTGTTATCCCAAACCAGACGCATGGGTGGATTAAACAACACTACATCTTTAAGAGTGAGACTAAGAGCTGTTAGGCAGCTGGGAATAAACAAGTGTTTACTGTCCTCAGGGGAATAAAGCCGGCATGTTGTTACTGCCACATGAAACAAGACAACAGTAAACAAGCTGCTGCAGCCCCTCTCACGGCTAATCGCTAACAAATATGACACTGAAGTCTTGACTTGAGCTCAAACACCTCAGTGTAATTTTGAACATGTCAGGATGTCATCACCCCCCCCAAGTTTTATCAAATCCAGTCAGTGGTGTCAGATGTATTCTATGTGACAACTAGATGAATTGATGAATACTACAGCACCCCCCTCAGGTTTATGAATGTCAGTTTAAAATGCTGGAATACAGTAGTGAGATGGCTCGTTGACCAAGTTTGATTGCTTCTGACAAGGGATGTAAAACGAATCCAATAATTAAATTCAATACAATTTACATTATTTTAGCGAGGATTCAGTGGGTCATAAAAGCGCTCATTAACTCAGCAGCTTTAGGGGCGTGTTCATTATGTTTAAGGGTAAAACATTCTGTAGCTTCCCAGTGGTGCTCCTTGTTTATTCAAATCCCAACGTTCTGGTCATAAATACAGAAGCACTGTACTGCTGTGTGGAGACCGCGTAGGTTCGGAACAGAACATCATGAAATAACACAAACTAACCGATGAAGGAAGCGGTAGATCAACAGCTCCCCCGCTCTGCAAGGTGAACCACTGTTCTTCTCAATGGAGTCCGGCGGCTTTGAATAGAGCGATCAACCTGCTTCAGTCCTCCTGCTGCTGGTGATTCTTCTGCAGCTCTGTTTAAATGTTGACATTTTCAGTCCCACCTTTTCTTCCAGTTGTGCTTCTTATAGTCTCTCGGCTTATAGTCTTCTTATAGTCTCTCGGCTTATAGTCTTCTTATAGTCTCTCGGCTTATAGTCTTCTTATAGTCTCTCGGCTTATAGTCTTCTTATAGTGTGTCGGCTCGACACATTTCAAAAACACAAGATTTGTCAGGCCCCCCCCGTGATGCTTTTTGTCACGTTCGGTATGATTTCTAGAATCCTTGGTAATCATCATAATGGTAATAAATGAAGAAAGAAATCATGTTTTGGTGTTTTTATTCATTTATTTGTGTCATTGAGTTTGGATTATGCAGCTGGATTGTTGTTAGTGTGTTGGTTCAGTTTGTGGGACTGATACGTAGCGGATGGTCTCATCTATACATGCAAACAGCCTCTGGAGTGTTCCGTTGGACTAAAGCTTCGCTGAACAAACTGTACAGAAAACCGACCCACAGACCGTCTCCTGCTCGCATCTCATCACCAGACTAACCTGTCCTCTCCGTCTGTCTTATCCTGCAGGAGTCCCACGCATGGCTCTCTCTGCAGGCGGGAGGGACTGCCTGCGTGCGGGAGACACCTGCTCCAGCGACGACACCTGCAGCCCGCGACTGCGCACCCTCAGGCAGTGTGTGGCGGGGGACGGCAGCGTGAAGCTGGGGCCCGGGGCCCGGAACCAGTGTGAGACTGCCATGACGGCGCTGCTGTCCACTCCTCTCCACGGCTGCCAGTGTAAACGAGGCATGAAGAAGGAGAAGAACTGCCTGAGCATCTACTGGAGTCTGCATCAGTCCGTGCTGCACGGTGAGACCGGCGTTAACACACACACTCTGACGCTTCTGTCCCCGAGAGGTGGGTGGAAGCAGCTACAGTATGTTACTGGGATTATCAAGTGAGTGCAGCACATTACACATGAATGAGGCCTCCGCCTCCAGAGAGCTCTGCAGTACATTCCAGGCTGAAATAAAGAGTGATTATTGTGTCAAACATTCCTTTTGTTCCACCCACACTAATTGTATTTCATCACTTTTGTGCTCATTCCAAACGCTTTGCACAACCTTTGTCATGTCCTACACTATATATAACAGTGCTGTTTAACACGTTTGACAACGTTGTGATAATCCTGCAAGTCAAGTGCAAATGCAAAAGCCAAGAAATGAAGATTATATAGTAATAAAACAAACTAAAGCTCATCCATCATCATCGTGAGTGTGAAACAAGATAATATACAGTAAAGACTTCATTAAAAACGTCTAAAACAACAACTGAAGCAGACACTCCCTGTAGATGAGTTTAATGAAGTTGCAGGCTGTTGAGCAGAGTATGTGAACCACCTCGTACTTCCATGGCTGTCATGTTCCTTCTGGTGAGCTGCTCCTCCACAGGAACAATTGATTTGGTGATTTGCAGCTCAGAAGACGTCTTGATGTTGAGAATAAAACTGGGTTCCCTTTGGTGACAAAATTAATGACGTTTTCATTGTTTTAACAGCATTTCAACAATATGTCAATGTGTAGTTAAGACCTGCTTCACGTTAATACGTTCATTTAAATGCTTTTGAATTAGTCGCACATCTAATATTGTACATTTAAATGATGCTTCGTGGGTCTTTGTCAATGCAGCTTATTTTGTGTTTGGTATATTTTGACACAATTCTCAAGACCTCTCAAGTCTCTTTGATAAATGAAACCAGCTGCATTTATCACGCTGCAGTTTGGGCAAAGAGGGCGTGGCCTCTCTCCAGCTCCACACGAAGCTCCCACATATTAAAGTGCTGATTGCTGATGGATTGCAGCTGTTTTCTAAGTTAAATTGCAGCTAATTCATTTTTACAACCTCGTACAACCTGCTTTTATTTGTAATTGTAGTTCATTTACTTCAGTGTTTAACTTATTGAACTGAACTTCTGTCCACTGAAGCTAAGGCTGGATTATAAACTGCACCGGGGCTCCACTCCCCCAGGACGTCATTGCATGAAAGTTGGTTTTGTTAACCAGACCTGATTGCTCATTTGTTTGGGAATTAGCAGTAGTGAAGTATAATGTAAGTCCTGTGTTACTTTTTGTTCATATTTTGCTCACATGGTGTACATTTCTAAATCTAGTTGTTTATTAAAATGACCACACACTGACTGACACACCAGACGCAGGGGGGCGGGTAGTATTAAATCAGCATGTAATGTATTTATTGTGTACTGTTGGTTATAGGGACTGTGTGCAACAGAAGGCACAAATGTTGCTGTTTCATGTACTGTACACAGGTTGAGTGCTGGTTGGTCTCTAGTCGTCTGGTCTGTGCTCTGCTGCTTGAGAGGGAGATACAGAATGCACATCGGGCGCTAGTTAAGGGGTGGGAGGTCAATATGTTGCTCCAACAGCATTTTGAGCCCCAGAGTCCCCTAACAGGTTAATCCGGCCATGCATGAGTTATTCTGTCCAGGCCTTGTAACTTTGTATGCAACTTTTATGATATGAGAGTCTGTGTCAGTGTTTCGGGACACTGACACAGACAAATTCTGCATGTAGAAGAGAAGTAGAGCATTATTTTGGTTTGTCAGCACAACAGAAGTTACCTCTCTCTTCCATGTTGGCAGGACTCAGTCTGGTGGAGGACTTCCCGTATGAACCAGAGGAGAGGGGCTCTGACTACGTGCGTCTGGCCTCCATTGCTGCAGGTGAGTTTGCAAGTGTTTCTCTGCAGCATCCGTTATTCCCACAAAGAATAACAAACTAGTGGGTCTCGACCAAGTTGTGTGTCAAAGAAAGAGCAAATGGAGATGCGATCCTGTGTGGTTTTGACGGCGTAGATGGAGGTTTATTATATGCAGGTGTTTGATGAGTAACAACCCACACTTTGCTTCTGTCTTGCCTCCGAGCCTGTGGGCAAGCCGCAGGGCAGGTATGTGCTGCCGTTAGCCTCGGAGGCACAGATTAATTACCTATTTACTTTAATGCATCTGGAAGCAACAGAACTCGGGGGGGGGGGGGGGGGGGGGGGGGGAGAGGAGAGAAGAGTATGACGAACAGAGAAACTGGAAGAAAAAAAGGAGCGAGAGGGAGAAAGAGACACAGGAAGCGAGACAGAGCTGGTTTGTTTACGCGAGGCTGCACACAAAGGAGGAGGAGTTCATTTATTTATTCTTCACTGGAGAGGACATAAAGTCAAGTGCATTGTTTTCTCTGATGGCAATTATACTCCGGATGAGTAAAGCTGAGATGAAGAGTCTGCGCAACTTAAAGAAGGACGTAAATGAAGGGATTAATGGGGAAGGCATTCATGCATATGTCACACAGTGTAATGATAAATGCCCGACATACACAAAGAAAGTTGAAAGAAGTGGATCTCAAAGGGAGGACACAGCTTCATCTAAACATTTAAATACAGCATTTTTCTAAATTGAAGCAGGATAAAGCACTTTGAGCTACATCGTCTACATCTAAGAAAAGTGCTCTACAAAGAGAGGTTTGTATTATTATTAATATTAATAAAATGAGAAACGTATATCTAGTTGGTTTGTTAATACATTTGCACCTGCACTAAATCAATATTGTATAAAAGCAGCTAAACAAGTTCAAGGTATTCAAATTATACTTTAATATTGGAAAATATTCATGATATGCTAATTACATCTGCTATATTTGTTATGCAACTGGGTAATGAATTGCATGTCTGAAACATATGTGATGTCATTTGGATGTATAATACTGAGCTGGAGACAATGAGTGGAAGCTTAAGTTTATGTGATCTTTACCACGGGATCATGGGTAACCTCGTGATATTAAAGGTCATTTAGTATGTTGGCAGCTCCTAATGGCAATGAGGGATCAGTGTCAAATACACATTTTATGACTTCAAACCTGAAGTAATTCAAGCCGACATTAGCAAACTGCACATGCTTTTGTTGTATACCACAAGGAGAAGAAAGGCAAATGATTTAACCGTGGTATGAGGCCAGTTCAGGAGACAGTTTGCGTAAAAGCCTTAAAGGTAAATTCAGGTTGAGTAACAGTTATTCTACTCACCGAGATCAGGGGGCATGGAAACCAAACACAGCTTTACAGTAGAGTCCATTAAACATCCACAGCACTGTGTGCACACGAGCCAATTAAAACGATTCTGGTTTATTACCACTTGGAACTGATTTTCACAGGTTTAAACATAATCTTTAATGATTATGATAATATTGTACTCACCAAAGTAATTATCACCAGCGAGCCAAAACCAAGCACGGCCAACCTCCCACCGGCCTGAGCAGCCACCAGCTCATTCTGCAGCACACTGAAACATGTTTCCATCAACATCTGAGCGGAGGAAGAGGCAATGCAGTCACAGAATCTTCATATCTGATCAGCGCTGCCTAGTTTGACAGTTTGGTCGGAGTTCAGAGACTGACGGCTACTTGCTGCGTCAGAGGCTCCGCGGCTTTGATTGGTTGTTTTTTTCCAGGCAAGATTCGTGCAAATGCCATTAGTCATGTTTAGAGGAGGCAGAGGAACAGACTGTCTGTCTCATAAACTGCTGTCAGGATATGGTGACAGTCACAGCAAATATGACAAAAAGTTATTTCAATAAAAGTTACCAACTGTGGCTTTAAGCCCGAGGTTGATTTAGACTTATGTGTCATAAATATATTCAATCCCAGTTCACAAGCTCACCTCGTGGTTCAACTTTGACTCGCTCTACTTTTAGTCGTGTTGCAGGCACAGTTGTGTTGCGCAATGATGGAACATTTCAGTGAGATGTCATAGATTCATTGATTGACTGATGGGGGAAGATGTTTAGATAATCTTGCTAAGCTGTTGCTTTATTTAGAACCTCAGGTTTCTCGCCCCTTCAGACTACATTTTAGCGTTGATGACATGTTTCCGGTAGCAGCACAGTGAGTACGGTGACATCTTAACGCACAATAACAAAGTTAGAAGCTGCGTCAATTAGGCCCAAGATGTAAAGAAACAGAACTAGCCTGCAGGTGCAAGAGGTCAAAGTTGAACCAGGACACAGCTCTGCAACATCTCACGGATGTTTCCAACGGACCGTCTGGGAAGTGAAACCCGCCTGCTGGCCCTGATTGGCTGGATTCAAAACATTTTCCTAAAAAAATTAAAATAAAATTTCGCTTCAAATGTTGATTTGACTTGCTGTGGTACATATACCCGCCCACAGAGAAAGCACTGTACACTGCAGCTCCGCTCCGGCTTCCTTCACTTTTCGTTTTTCACATCTCAGCAATCTTTTCCTCAAACCCTCCATGAACCTCAGGTGCACACTGATCCTTTAACCGCTCACAAGCCTGTGAGCGGTTAAATACCGTTCTGCTTTCATATCTTACAGTCCGTCAGTCCTTGTTATTTTTATTCCATGGCAGGCGTCTACCTCCATACATATTCACAACTATAAATGTGCAGATTGATGCTTGTATTTAGCTTTTTCTGTTCCAGTTAATTATGCTAATTAACTGTGCGCACCCGTACGTGTGAGACAGTATGGATTAATGTAAGACAAAATCTAAATACCGAAACAATTCAGATGCAGTGGCCGTCCCCTTTCACATGCTTCATAAAGCATCTTTGTGACCTCGTACATAAGCTGCTTGTTTAAATGACAGCGTGTGTTTTAGGCTGCTTTGACTTACAGCAGCATCAGACCTGCACTGTGCTCAGCCGCCTCATAAATTTCTCTCTGGCGACTCCATGTGAGGTCAAAGTTCACATCCATGCCATGCATCGCGACAGGTCGACTGCCGAAACAACAAAGTCGTGACTAATGGCTGTTTTTCCGCCCTTATAGCATCTCTCCCTCAAACGGAGTAATGACCCTTTTCAAAGATGCAAGCCGGAGCTACAGCTCATCATGTTTTGAGGATTATTCAAACTACAGAGTGCTTCACCCTTTACCAATTCATCAGTTAACTTGAAGTCAGTGGTTTTAAGAAAGTGTCTCTGTTCAACATTAGGTGTTCTGCACCAACAAAGAGGCTTTTTAATGCATCATTGGCCTCTAATGCCGTGTTCACACCAAACGCGGATTCATCGCGCCGCATATTCGCGTCAAACGCGCGCAGGTCTCGCGGGGACTATTTGTGTTCATTCGCACGAATCGCGCCGGAGAGGGGGCGTGGCTTATCGCCCTGAAAGCCGTTCAACTGTCCGCCATTAACCATGGACAAAATACCCTCTATTTCTGCTTAGTACGTGTTGTGGAAGTCAGATATCCCGGGAAACTAAACGCGTCATGTCTGGTTCATAACATAGTCCAGAGGAGCTCCGTGGATTGTATCGAGCTGTGTTCACTGTGTCTAGCGAGCCACAGGTCGCTGTTTACTACAGCTGTATGAACACTAAATAAACTGATCTGGCTGTGATTTAACGGCAATAAACCGACAAAGAGGGACTCCGAAAGAACGACGTAATGATGCCGATTTGTAGGCTACTTGTCTTCTCAATGGAGCGGACGGATCGGTGCTAGGCTATGCTAACATTGTAGCAGCTCAGAATAACGTCATCTAGACGTAAATACGGCAGCGTCTATTCATTGTTTGTACCATATGGTTTACACACACACACACACACACACACACACGTATACACGTAGTTTGGTCCGGTCTGTGTTGATATGAGGATCGTAGAGCTCTGGGTGAACACAGACGGCTACAGCATTTATTTCCTCATTCAACAACGGCAGGACGTCAGTGATGACAGGGGGAGCATCTCAACGCTGATAGGCTGTCGCGCCGGGCCTAACGCGAATATTTCGGCGAAGTTGAAAAATTTAAACTCACGCGTTTGGGGCGATTTGGCGAATTCGCGTCCATCGCGCCGCGCCAGTCTCATCGCGTCTGTGCATAGACTTTGTATGTAATCTACTCGCGCGAATAATGTTTGGTGTGAACGCAGCATGAGAGGGGTGTAAATTGTTTTTCCTCACTAAGACTTTCTACTTCATGCACCTTGGTACCAAGACAAACACCAAGAGTTTTGTTTTCTTAATCGAATGCAGGTTGGTCACAAGCTTGGTGAAGAAAGAAGGAAACCAGGATCCAAAATGATACAGTGAGGGTGAAGTGTGGAGCTTTCATTTGAGAGCTTTTACATCCAGATTAGGGGAACAAAGACAAATACTCTCCCCTTGTAGGATTGCAACCAACTGCAACAGAGAGCAGAACTACGGTGCCGACGTGAAAACATGAATGACCCTTTCTAGTGTTTGGTTTGTCCATTCTGGGCTACTGTAGAAACATGGCGGCCGGCTCCAATAATAGGACTCGCTCCGTATGTAGAAAAACAAAGCTTGTCATTTTTAGGTTATTATAGACATTTAGATACATTTATATTTAGTGTTTGTGTGGATAGTTTAGTGGTCATGTTAAATTACAAGGTGGTTACCGTGGCAGAGACCCGAGTGGAGATAGACCGCCTCCAGGCAGTGTGGGTCCAGTAAGGAGCTGCTCTGGACTGTGGTTGTACCGGGCAGCTCCGAGGTGGAGAAGTGTGTGAGGCTTGTTCCTGGATAAGAGCAATACACAAAAAAAGGTAAAACATGATAACAATGATTTCACATGAAAGCTTGTGTGGAGATTCCTACGCATGAGGCCACTGGATGCAACTTGTCATCCCGACCTGGAGGTCCATCAGGTCCTCCCCCCGCCTGCTCAGCAGGTAAGCTGGGGAGGACCTATGTTTTGTGAGGGAGTGTTGGCTTGCTCTCTAAGGCCATTCATATTTCATGTGACAGCTGGGTGAGAGCCGAACTCACCAGGAGACACAACTACAGGCAGTTTACGAACTAATGAGCGGTGCTATCTGCCAGAGAAGCTGAACGTCATCATGGCTGTAGTGACTGGGTGGTCGCTTGGGAGAAGAAACACACACGTGATGATGGCTTGGAAAATAATGCAGCCAAAAAAAGACGGTTATGAAAGGGGCTTTCCGCTGCCGCCACATGAGGTGGCTCATTACCGTGGAAGTCAGAGGGAGCACGGAAGCAGAGATGGACAAAGTTGAGGAAGAGGGGATGGAGGAGAAGGGAAGAGACAGATGGAGTAGTGGGTAATGGGTGCGCTGAGAGTGTCGGGCACACAGCGATGGAGGAAGATGGCGAGGGACGGAGGGAGTCAGGTGAGTGCGGGGTGGGCCCAGCTGTATGGAGAGGGATAGTTGGATAGATCGATGGATGAAGGGAAGGAGCAGTAATTACAAGCCTTGTTGTGCGGCTGGAGAGATGGAGCAGCCGATTTTTCAGCACTGCCACTCTGCATTAACCCAGCAGAATGAAATATTCAGCCATTAGGTCTCAGCTGAAACACATCCAGTGCCCGAGCTCATGCAACATTTAAACACCATTCATGCTCTATTCATTGCACGGGGCGCTATTACATCTAATCATCATTTTGGTTTAGTTTGCACTTCAAGACACACATTTCTGTTTTTCATCTGTAAATGCAACACTACATGTGAGGTGAGAGTGGAAAGTCAATACCGACTCCAATTAGACCTTGAAATCATTGGTAAACATTACCTGGGATTTGATTTTCTCAAACCACACAGAAGGATGAAATGCTTTCTGCTTCCCATTTGTGTCTTCTTCTTCTTCTTCTTCCGTCTAGAGTCTGAAGTAACAACGGTGAACCGCTGCCTGGATGCCGCCAAGGCGTGTAACATAGATGAGACGTGTCAGAAGCTTCGTACGGAATACGTCTCGTCTTGCATCCAGCCGTCGGCCCGCTCAGGTCCATGTAACCGCCCAAAGTGCAACAAGGCGCTGAGGAAGTTCTTTGACCGCGTCCCCCCTGACTACACCAACGAGCTGCTGTTCTGTCCCTGCACCGACACGGCCTGTTCAGAGCGCCGGCGCCAAACCATCGTGCCGTCCTGCTCGTACGAAGACAAGGACAAGCCCAACTGCCTGGCCCAGCTGCGGATCTGCAAAGCAGACTATGTGTGCAGGTAGAAATTTGAAATGTTGTGTTATACTACCTGCAGCCATGAAAACTTTCCACTTAATTGCCTGAGTGGGCATCACTCGATTCACTGAACTGATTATATGCTGTGGCTTCTTTTAAAGGATCACAAAGTTGTTTTTCCGTGTGTTTGCTCAGTTACTGCAAATTATATACACATTACATTAATGCTAAAGCACACCCGAGTTATCAGAGATTGCTTAAACATTCTTTTGTGTCTTTCTTTTGTCTTAGAACAGTATAAAGTAGAATTCGTAGTGATTTAGAGTTAAATAGGTCGGTAAGGTGAGGGAATAAGTAATCCATGACAGATTGATTTGGAAAGACACGGTGTGTTCAAAGGCTGCTCTGAAGCTCTGATGTCCAAGACTTTGAGGTTTTTTTGGGTCTCCACCAAATATATATGGCTCTGTAGCATTAGCTCTGGAGCCGGTTGCTAACTTTGTCCATCTGAACCTGGGCAGGTAGTGTGCAGTCACTTATTCATAGATGTTTTTGGCTTAAAACATCTGATTGCTGCCGGAAACAAGTGCTCTGAAACCAAAACCATGAGCTAAAAGAGGCTAAAAAGCTCTATTCTGCTGTAGATTTGAGTAATATTTCTCTGAGCGAACACTTTCACATTATGCAAAAAAATATAGGTTTTAAAGGCTCAGTCGCACCTGCATATAAGTACTGTAATAGTGGATTTGCTCAAATAACAATCCATCTTGACAGTGCTTTTATCCTACCTCCTTTGTTAGAGTATAAACTGCTCCACAAAAGACGCATTGTTTGTAGAATCAACTCTTGAGGTTATTATTCCGTTAGCAACGAAGTTAACCAACTTGACAGTTTGCAAGCTAGCTACCCTGGAGACTTTTTTATAGCTCATTCGTTTACTGGTCTTGGCTGCCTTTGATTGGCTTTCCCTGATGTTTGTTCCCTACCTCAAACCAATCTCACTCCTCGTGTCTAAAACCTAACAAGTCCAACCAACAAAGGCGACGGGTGCTAGCAGATCAGAGGCAGAGTAGAGCGGGTCAAGCCTTTGCCCGAGTAAGATTCGTAATTTAGCATCCCGGCTAGCTAGCTTGTTAGCAGTTAGCTCGCCAGCTATGGCAATTCACCTACTAGCCTTGGTCACAATGTCGCCACCTCTTTCACAAAGACATAGTGATGGATTCTGCTGTGCTACTTTCTGGTGTTACCAGGGCTTCATTGTTAATGCACCAACCCCAAAAACAGCAAAACAGCACAGCTGTAAGTGGCTTCAAGTTCATTTTAATGGCTACTGTGGTGATATCTTCACCGCTGTTGTGTTCAATTTGAAATGCTTTGTTGATGAGGTGGCCTTACACAATGACTTTCCCTCAGGACAATGAATGTGTGTGTTGGAAGATGGATCCGGCTGCTATGATATGTTCATTTAGATTGAATTAGTCAGCTGTGTTTAATTCCTTCAATTGTTCAACTCATTAATTGTTAATTAGTTCAATTAAACTCTGCATACATTTTTAGCAAGGCAAGAAGCGGCCGTGTGAAGCAGTGATTACTAGATTATTATCACTTGGGATTCTCACACGACTTTCCTGCCAAAGTGGTCAGAAAATATATATCAATGTACGGCCAAGACATCATCGAGATGTACAAGCTTTCTGAATAAGCATATTTATTCTGTGTTAAACCCTTGTGTATATGACACATTGATGGAAACAAATATGTCATTCGACTTTTAATTAATTGTCAACGTCCAACCAGATAACTAACAATGTCTCATGAAGTCATTGAAATTCTGAGGGTGTATTTCTCTCAATCACTGGAGACTGAAAACATGGAGTTCTCGTACCCATCCAGTCAGCCTCCTCTCGCTGACAGCAAATGGTGGCCAGCATTTAATCTAGTTCCTCTTCACCTGTCAGAAAGACAAAGGGCTTCATCTGTCACGGCTATCGATCAGGCATTATCCTCTGCTGCCACCCCGATGGATGGGGGCACCTCAAGGCCCCTGCGTGGCCCGCCAATCCCGCACCAGTCAGCTGGCATTAAGCGGCAGGCTGCAGAGGATGCCTTCAGTTAGCGCACAGCCTATGATTTTTACGCACATCATTACAATGACATGACAAACGAGGGGAGAGCGGGGAGTCGTGGTGCCCCGAGGGGATCCTGTTACAAATGCCAGTCGACGGGGGCCGCTGATGCGATATGATGGCCGCGATGGCCTTGTGCGATGATGATGATGAGGCCGGATGTCTCGGCGACTGGCAGGAAAGGTGAAGGAGGGAAGGCAGAGCGGCTGGGGGAGGAAATATTTATATGGAAGATCCATATTTGTCTAATCTCCTCGCGGCCAGCCCTGCCAGACAGCGCCCGCGGTATTTAGAGAGCAGAGCCAAGGCCTATCTTTGCCCCTCATTGACTCTTTACAGCCTGGCAGCCTTCCAGAACACAACTCGCTGAGAAAAGAGGGGAGGCAAGAGAAAGAGGGATGATTGTCGCCAGGGGTGACTGGCGTGGAGTTGTTGAAGTGCTGCAGCGCGGGGAGATCTTTGAAGGGTGGAGGGAGATGATGTAGGAGTGTAGGTAGGCAGAGGAGCGTTGTGGGTTTCAGATCCACATCTAGTCGCTGAGAGAACCGGTGCCGGCCAGCTCTCAGGGACACCATGTGTGCAGCATCCAAGCACGGGTAAATGATGGATGGCATGTTATTGCTCCCACAGGTCTCGCTGGGCACAGTTCCAGTATGATTGCCAACCTTCGGAGCAGAGCGCCAGTGGCTGCAAGCAGGAGAACTACGGAGCATGTCTACTTGCGTACACCGGCCTGATTGGTAAGAACTAAATCTTTCTGCGCCAGCTCCGGCTCACCCGCCTTCTGTGATTGATCAGGAACAAAAAGGTTTTAGAGGGAGGAAGGCGGAGCGCAGACAAGTGCACCGAACAGGACTCAAAAGAATGAATCAACGATTGTGATGAGAAGCGCGGTGCAACAATCGATGGAGCGCTGATTAATGTGGCTGCAGCATGCCCGGCCAAGTCGTTGGCATTATAAGTGCAATTACAACTATTGACGTGATGATGAGTGGGTGCAGGCGGAGGACACAGCTTATTGTACTTTAGATAAAAACTTAACAAAAGATCACATAATGCTCAAAAGCCCACTCAATCTAAACATGTCATTATGGGACAACAATAGCGCAACTGAACTCCTGCAAAAAGAGGCGGAAAGAATAGTTGTTTAGTTTGTTAACTTGGAGGGACTGAGTGAGACAGATACAGACAGACGGAGACAGGAAGGTGTTCACCAGTGATTGGACATTCCAGACAACTGAAGTAGAAGTGAGACTCTGAGGTGTTGTTGTTTGGAAGTCTGGGACCCAGAAAATCAATGGAGGTAAATCAAAACTTTTTTCGCCACAGTGCCACAAAGTGCAGCAATTCTATTTCCCACCTCTTAAAAAAAAAAAACCACAGAAGCCACCAGGCTTTATTAGCCTTTCTGGAGAATCACTTCACAATCACTTCCTGCTGAAAAGCTCCAAAGGCAAAAAAGACTAAAAATAATACATGTGAGAGACCTCTGTGATGGTGGCTTGACTTTGTACTGCAGGTCACTGCACTCACCAAACGTCCACTAAGGAAACTAACGCTAGGAACGCTAAACAACTGCCACTGTTCTTGCAGTTTGGACTTGAACTGTTGTAGCATCAAATAACATTCACTGGCAGAGCAATGGCTAGATGCTGTACAAGCTCTTTTTTTACATGATTGACCAAGAAAATCACATTTTGAGATAATTGCCTGTCACAAAAGATCAGAGAACATTGTAGTAAAAACTGGTTTGCAATACCAATTTCTTTGTAATGGGAAATATACAGGCCAAATGTCAAGCCCTGTCAACAACCGGGTTTGAACCAGTCGACATGTGATCAGCAGGGCGCCTGCTTCACTAGCCTGCCTGCCTCTCCGTCTCTATTCTCTCCACTTTCATCTGTTCCTCTTTTCATTTCTTCTCGCAATGAATACATTTACATGCACTCTAATATCTTCACCTGGTTACAGCAACACTGTGATGGTAGAAAACGAGATTAAATCAGCCACATTTCTTCTCAAACTATATTCTTGCAACATCAAACTTCTCAGTCAAAACGTCTCTTTTTCTGAGGTATTTATAAAAAAATAATTAAATTAAAGAAAAAAAACCTTAAATAACAAAGGACAGAAAACAGTTCGATATTAAGCTCAATTACCTAAATGTATTCTTATTCCTGTGATCTTATGGTCGGGTTCAAGCATTCTGTTTGTGTAAACCTCGTAATGTGAGGAGTTGCATTACTTCATTGTGCCTGTAGTGTACACATACACAACAACATTGTTTCCCCTCCTCCTCCTCTCTACAGGAAGCACAATAACTCCCAACTACCTCGACAACTCCACATTCAACGTGGGACCCTGGTGCTCCTGCGCAGCGAGCGGCAACCACAGGGAGCAATGCTCCGACTTCCTGACTTCCTTCCACGACAACGTCTGCTTGAGTGAGTAACAGCTGACCTCTGGCAACACAACAACAACACAGAGACACGTGTGAGGATGAAGTCTGTAGTCCTGAACAAAATGATCGATGTTTTGACACCTTAAAGAACTTTGAAGTACGACAACACCACGAACACCATGGCGGCTCAGCCTAAAACACCTTGTGCAGTTTTAAAGTCTTACATTTGCTGCCCTCAGAGCTGCATCTGCAGGTCTGCTCTGTGGTGAAGTGTGTGCATAGATGAACAGGAGAACATCCTTTACCCAGAGGTTCTAGGATTGAACTGATTTTATTTTAAATGCTTTTCAAAGTTAGATTTGTTTCGACCTAATTTTATTAAATTTGACGAAAATGACACTAACTATGCAAGCATTGCATTGTTGGGCTGGTGGTGTAGAGAGAGCTTTGAAACAGCGTTTAGACATCAAGTGGATGAAATGTGCAGAAGAGTTAAAGAAGAATTCAACATTTCTCTCTCAGCTCTTCTGCAGAGTCAGCTGAGAAGATCGATTTCACACTTCCATTGGAGAGATATTGATCTCATCTAACCCTGACAGCAAACTGAATTAATACAATATATATGTTATTTATTTCAACGATCAACAGAAATAGGACGGGAGAATAGATAGATGGTCAGAGCAGCAGCCACTTTCATGTGTACAGTTGTAACCGTTGTAGCAGGCTGACCTCCGTATAAACCCACTCACAGTAAGTTGCAGACTCGCTGTGGTGAGCTTTTGCAAAAAAAGGACCTAACGGGCAGTGGAGTGGCACAAAGCACGGAGAGGAAACATCGTGGTTGGACTTACAATAAGTATCTTCGCTCGGTAAAACGCAAGCAACACAACATAAATACTGAAAACACAACGCGACACGGACACACCGGTCTCCTGGGTTAAAGTCCTGTTTGTTTGACCCTCCTACCATAAGTAGTCTTTCTCATATTGTGTACTACCTCACTCGCTCAGAGTATAACGTATTCATGTTTATGCGTTTACTTTGCAGTCAGTACAGACTTCATGGTAAAATGAAAGAGAGGAAAAAGAAGAAGACGTTGTCATTGCACGCTAAGTGTATTACAGTATGCACAAATAAGACTTGCAGAGAAAGAACCCGCTGAGTGATGGCAGCAGTGTAGTTGATAGCTGGAGCAGCACTGTGATGGTTACCACATGTAACACAGGCTGATTAGATTACCAGGGGACATTTATCGCTGCAGAACTATTTATTTTACGATTATAGAAACAACAAATGCTAAGATGACGACATGAGTGACTGATAAACTGCTGCTGATGTTACATAAGGATTATCCACCAAATCCGCTGCAGTCGGTTACCTTTTGTTGTAGCTTTTATTCACCCAACAGCAACAGCTGTCTACTACTGTCTACTACTGTCCCTATAGAGCCGTAACTGCTGCCCCCGTAGAGCCGTAACTGCTGCCCCCGTAGAGCCGTAACTGCTGCCCCCGTAGAGCCGTAACTGCTGCCCCCGTAGAGCTGTAACTGCTGTATGGCTCTAAAGGTTTTGTCTCAGAGCAACAATAATGCTCACTATATTAAATTATGAGTTCCCCGGAACAAAAACCTTTTATAAAATAATCTCCCAAAGTAAAATGTTATATAAGTATCAACATTTTAAAATAATTGAAACCTTAACTTATTATCTTTTTACACAGTGACTCAGCCCTGTTATTATGAATTAGTCACATTGTTCATATGATTACAACTTATTCTATTCGTCCTTTATCCTTTTTTAATGTCATAGGAAAGTCAATTTGCATATTTTTAAAACAAAAATAGACAAAAGACATTCGATGTGTTTGTGTCTCCTTCATACTGACTGGCAGAGTGTCCCTACCCCCCCGACAGTGAGTGATACTTTGAATCAGGACCAAAACTAAACATTTTATCCGTCTATTGTATTGCATTTATAAATACAGCATCAGCTACAATTGGTTGTTTTTGACTCTGGTCCCAAAGGAACCCGACATATTGTTATTTAAAGATATTATTTATTTAAAAAAGCACTAATTAGAACAGAAAACAATGATAAAAAGTCATTGGGAACAAAGTGATCGTCAAAGTCATGTGAAATTGGAAGGAATGAAGCACGTGTGAGGTATGATGAACAGTAAACCTCGGGGGTCTGCAGGGCCACAGCTATAGCTTCAGGGTTAAACTGCTAAATAATTCCAAAGTAGTTTGCAGGCAGTAATCTAAAGCAGAACCACATTCACTTGTGTTTGTATATAAATGCTAATATCTATCTGTCAGCTGACAGCAGGAATGCTGTTTCCTTATACGTAAATGCTCTCTTCAGGAAATAGACACGAAATAGACACCTGACAAAATGTCACCACATCGATCATTCATGAGAAACTTCTTCATTTCTTAAACAATGTGGCTGCTTATAACAGCTGCCACGGCACAACTGAGAGAAGAGGGACGGATATCTGGTCACCATCTTGTAAACAGCCGAGCGTACGACAGTAGAATAAGATGCAGCTATAACATTCACCATCTTGCTGGTTAATCCAGTAATAAGCGTATTAATCCAGTAAGCAGCAGCATGTCCTCAGCATCAAAGATGGAAACAAAAGCATAACGGCGACCGTCTGGAGGAGTAACCGCCAATAAGAGAAGAGAAGAAACATTCACGAAGAACAAATGGACCTACATGTGATCTCATTGAAAGCATTGTCTTCTTCTCATCTGACACAACTCTCTGTGCAGTGAATCACCACTTGACTTGCTGTAATGGCGTTTAATGAGTTAGTCAATGATTTAAACTTGCAGCTGCAGATCAACAATCCAACACAAAAACTCCCTGCTTTGCCAGAAACCGTTGCGTCATAACAGAGATAGATATTTAAATGTTAAGTCCACCAGCACCTTTCCTTGGTTTGCAGGTTGTGCTTTTGCAATTTAAGTCTTAATATTCAACTTATTATAAAGAAGTCAAGTATTTAATTCACTCTGAAGTATACAAAAATAGGCTTTACCATTTCACAGACTATTGATTGAATTGAAAACATGCTCTACAGATAGAGATATATTGTCATTGAGATAAAAGATTTAGTCCATATAGTGCAGCCCGACTGTAACCTGTATTTACAGTATAGATTATTTCATTCATCACTCTCTTGTTAAGTTAACACAGAACTTTATTAATCCTGAAGGAGTATATAAAGTGTTTCATAGAAAAATAGAAAAGTAGTATTTCTCATGATATTGACAGTTAAAGCCGTACACATAGACATAAACCCCCCCCTCACTGGAAACCAACTAAACCAGAACCTACAGATGATGTCATTGCTGGTCAGGGACGATTGTGTTTGAACTGTTTTTAGGTCAATTATAATAACGGTTGTCGTCTGACGTGCACCGCTCAATGAGATGACGTTTGCTGAAATGCTTCTGATTTCTACATAATCAAATGCAGACAACGATCACATCTTACGTCATCCCGTAGTGAGTCAACAATCCCAGCCTTTTTGGGCTGGTTGATGGATGTCTTGTTTTTCAATGGAACTCCTCATGTGCATCCTGCAGCCGGGACTCACACTTGCCGAGTGCTGCTCCTCTGTGCTGTTTACTGTAAACGCCTTAGAGACCCAGGAAAACTAACCTCAGACTGACTGGCCTCGTTTTCCTGCGTCTGAGCAAAGAAGCGCTCCTCTCCTCCTCCTGCCTGAGCAAACGGCTGAAGCCAAACAAGCACGTACGTGATAATGAGGATGAAGATGTTTCTGAGGGGAGAGTCGATGCACGGACCAGCAGCACACGTCACGCGCTCATCTCCACTGGAGTTCAGTCTCCTTTGCCAGGCACGGGCGAGCCGCAGTTCTATTTGTGTGTATAATGATTTTGGCAAGGAGAGTTTTAATTCGAGCCAATAATTGGGAAAATGAATCCGCCCCAGGAGACCCTCGGTGTTCTTCTTTCCCCCATGTTCCTCCTGTAACCACAATGTACAGAGAATGGAGTGTTATTCATTTTGACTTGAGCCAAAAGACCGTCCGCTCCTGCACCGATGGCTATGTTTCACAATTAGACAGCACGAGCCTCGATTAAATAAATCCTCCTGGTCTCGTTTGGTGCTTACCTCTGTTTGCGGCGGCCCCCCCTGTGCTGGGGCTTCAGATGGCCTTTGATGACTTGGTAATTGAACGTGATTTGGTTTCCTGCCTCTGAACTAATGAGGTGGACAGAGAGAATAGTGGCAGGGAAGAATACAGTCGTTTGCAGACAGGGGAGGGGAAAACTGCCTCTCTGGAACAAGCGCGCTCAGGTTTTAAAAAGCAGCTGTCACCCTGCCTTACCTCCTCATCGCAGCGATAATAACCACATCCCGATGCAAAACTGCAGCTCTGGACTTCTTCCTTCTCTGAATGCTGAGTGTGTCAGGGAAAAAAAAAGAGAGCACAGATGGAGATGAAGCTCATTTATTTCTGCAATTATTCAAATTTTTTTCTGGTAGTTAAGTTGGTGTTCTAACAGTGAGGGTAACCAGCAGTATGTCAGGAAGGTTGGGGACAGGAAAGGGGCGTGCACAGGCTGTGTGGCTTTGGAACCTGTGAAGTCAGTAAAAGAAAGACGCCCTCAGGGAGAAACTTAAAAGTCAAAGAGATGCGAGATGGTGGTGCTTAAACAGCCGCGTCCAAACATTTACAAAGGAACTGTCACAACAGTTTACCACTGAAGATATCTATTGGCACTTCATCTCTGCGTGACGGCGGGTGGCGTGGCACGGTAGCGGGCAGCTGGAGTTGCACCCCTCGCTTCCCTCAGCCGTCAGCCTGCCGGGGGATCGCTGCACGCTGCAGCCCGAACCGCACACTTTCCCACCTGTCCTACCAGCACTAATGGCCCACAGCACCATTAGCACGCCGGTCCGCAGCCTTTCCTGCAAGGTGCTGATGTATAAACACACCGTCAGCCGGGTTCAATCTGCTCCCCTCACTATTGACTTCTGCTGTTGTAAGTTGCAGATTCCCTAATTAGCTGCAGAGCTGGCAACAAGCGCGCGCAGGTCGCCCATCCGCCATCTCCATCTCTGACGGGCATGCTCAGTGTTGCACCAGTTGAGGGAGTCGAGTCAAGGCTCTGCATTGATTGCTGCAGAATTCTGTTTGCAAGGGCGATGGATGGATGGATGGATCAATTTGTTAGGATCCTGTGAGAAATCAATGTTTGTGTGTCACACCCCGATACTCCGCTGAAGGCTTTGAAATCCCTTCACTAATCACCAGCGAGACGCTTCTGAAATCGGAGGTTTTCTTGCTGCGAACAGATGGAATAATGGTGTGATTCTCATTTCTAAGCACCCACATCCATCTTACAGTAGACGCTGCGGCTATTAATTGATGAATCTCTCATTCATGTCTTCATTTGAGCACATTTTAATTGAAGTGACTTTCATGCAAACGTAATTGCTGCAGAGTAACACATTAGCTGAATGAAAACGAGTGCCTATAGAATATTAATTCATCGTATGATCATAATTCATTCTGGTTGTGCTAAATCTAAGAACCTGATGTGAAGGGTGTCCTTTGGGGTGCATAAGACCATATACATCCAGAGTGTAAGTTATACATACACTATAACATCCCTCCAGTCATAGCCTACTGATCATCACACCATCACAGACATCTGAAAGATGTCACACTGAAAGGCTGACTGACGATTTGAATCCTCTTTTAGGAAACTACTTTATACTTCTACCCCACGACATTTCAGACGCATATTGTACTTTTGAATCCATTTATTTGTCTGATAACATTAGTTACTCTGCAGATTGATAATGCAACGTATAATAAACAACATATGTATGTATTATTATTAGAGGTTAAGATGAGACTTGATTGACTGTACTTTTACTTGTTAACAGGGTGTTTCTACACTGCGGTGTTGCTACTTGTACTGAAGTATAAGATCTCAGTGCAGTGCAGCTGTGTTAAAGGAAACATCCAACATCCAACATCCAACAAACATCCAACAAATAACATTTCTTCAATTTTCTCTGAAAGATGTGAGCTCACACACAAACACTCGTGAGTGTTGACCAACTTAAGCTCCGAGCAGGGTCTGATTACAGCATTGAACACAATGCTTTGTAATTCCTTAAACAGACAATATATGAATGACCACAGACTCCGTATGAGATCTAAATACGACTTGCTCTCAGACACGATTACTTTTACAGTTTCCACGAGCCTCTGCCTCCGTCACCAAACACAACGTTAGCTTATCGCTTTATCGCTGCATTTGCAGACAAGGTGCCACAGTTGCTGAATTCATCCAGAATTTATTGATTGCTTCAATCGACTACATTTACCGTCAACACTCATTGATCATCTTAAGAGGTGCAGAATTCTCCCTTTTAACTTCTATTCTAAAGTTTTTATGAACATAATCTTTCTGTTTTTATTCAAAGAATGATATATTTTCATCCTTTGCACTGGTGATTCAACCAGGAGCTTCATGCAGTCCGAGCTGTAGAAGTGCTCCAACTGTGAGTCACGTGACACGGCGCAGCTTGCCGGTAGCCCGCTGCTTCACTTCTCGAGACATGTTGCCCTCCAATGGAGTTATGTAAACAAAGAACGCTTGATTGACAGACTGCTGCAGCGGACAGAGGGCGAGTATTTGCCCTACTTGCTGGTGCTGTTCTGTACAGAGTATAATTAGTTTTAGAAATTCTGTCGAACTCACTTCTCAATCAAACCACTTGTTCGTCTCACACGAGCAAGTGGTAATGATGGTGTGTGTGTGAGAGTGTGTGTGTGTGTGTAATTTATAGCCTGAAGAAACTCCTACATTGCTAAAAAATAAGAAAAATAACCACGCTGTTCATTATTGTTCATTTTTTATAATATGACCAGAAACCCCCCTTTGCCATTAATTGAATGTATATACTGGGCAGCCTTTGCCTCTCATATTTGTGTAATTAAAAACTGACTGACGCACTCTTCTATTAACAGGCTTTCTCGTTCTATATTTACATTTCTACACAGGAAAGTGAATTCCTGCTCACACAACACTCCTTCCTCTCTTGTGTATAGTTGACTGTAGCACTGCAGACTGCAGTAGTTCTCACCTTATGAATAACATATTCAAACTTACCCCGCAGCCACATGAATAACACATGTTACGCATTTGTTGGCAGTTTCTTACACTAGCGGCCCAGAAAGGCAACAAGATGTATAAACTAGAGAAATGTGAACATCCATCATCCATGAACGGATGGAGCGTTCACTAGTGCTTGTATTTCTCTTTAACTATGATGCATCGCTGCCTGTGAGCACAAAGGACATATTTTCATTTTTGGTCAAATATGTCAGATCCTGCTAGTTTTAGCACCGCGTAGTGTTACTGGTGTTTTTGTTTAACAGTTTGCAGGAGGAAGAAGCAAGAGGAACACTGGAGGTTACGGCTGATTACGACCTCGGAGCTTCCTCCATCTATTACGCCTCAGGTCATGTCCCTTTTAACACGGCGTGTCTGCTGCTCTTGTGTTCTAGAGAATGCCATCCTGGCCTTCGGGAACGGGTCGGATGAGAGAACGGGCGCCAGCCAGCCCGGGATGCCCAGTCCAGCAACCGACAACCAGAGCCCACACCTGGCGACCACCGCCCCGGGCCTCTCCATGGAAACAGAGCAGAACATTCTGAGAGCACAGATACCGACTCAGGTGAGACGAGACGGAAATTGTGACGTACGACCTTTTTCCGAACAGAGAGGCACTAACGGAGGAGACGGCCTCGCTCAGAATTTGGGTCGCACTGCTTCAGATAGCTTGGGGGCGTTTGTTTTATTCTGCAGGGACCAGCAGACGGGTGGGATTTACATTGTCTGCATAATTCAGACAGCGTCCGGGGCAAAGTCAGTCACACAACAACCGAGATAAAATGAACTGAGGCGGTGTCTGTTTGCTGCCATGTGCACAAAGTACACTTCAGCTTATTTCAGTGTCCAAGATTTTTGCATTATATCATTTAAATTTAGAGTGTTTGCCAAAACAGTTTAAATTAATAATTTTTAGAGTGAAAAATTTGCTAAAATGACAAGCGTGTATATTATGTAATTATGTTACTCTACACTCAATAATGATCCACGACTTTCCTAAATGTCAATTTTCTCCTCAGAGTTTAACTTGCATCGATTTGTGAAAGCCAAATCGATATTAGAAAGTTAGAGAATGAAACAAACAACACCTTATTAGAAGATTATCCTTTTGTACAGAAACGCACAATAATAATAATAAGAGATTTTTTAAACAGTAAAATTCCCTCGTCGAGTCCAGATCAGGTAAATAAGGTCAAAAGATGTTTGCAGTGCTGACTTACAGCACATGTTACAAGAAGCTCGTACTGGCTGATAAAGGCTCCACTGCTCACCATAGGCTGACCCATCGTGTGCTCATCATGGAGGATTCTGAGAGAAGGAAGCTTTGAGATTGGATGCGACCGTATCGATCCCAGCGGAGTCATCTCTGCAGAAGTAAAAGCATTCAGCAAACAAAGTAGAGCATAAAACAAACAACCTTATTGAAATAAATTAAGATGCTTTGAATGTAAACAGATGTGTTTTACAAGCTTATGCTGTTGGTAGTTTCAACGCATTGGATTTACTGGATTGAAAAATACAGCATGAACACGTAAATGGTCTCACATTCATAACAATACAAACAGGTTCTGTAAACATCATTAAAGTAGTCCAGTAAACAACGATTAAACTCTGTTGAACATACATTTTAATGTGGACAGCCTGTTTTGCATTAAGCACACACAGTGTTTAAGATGTTAGTAATATATAAATAATATAATTTGCTCCTAATGGGAACCCTCCCCCAAAAAAATGCTGTAGATAACATAATTGACAATCTGCCAACAGATATAAATAAACTTCACAACTAACGTGTATAACTAGGCCACTTACTTATTTCCAGAGGGAAAGCTGAAGCAAACAGCCAAAAGCCCAAATTACATATTGGTGCCTCGTGTGCTCTGAACTCCTCATCCCCACAGTCTGTGTCATCCTCTGATTCCTTTGGACTTTATATTAAGGTACAGAGATAAACAGGGAAGTGACACCTTAAACATGATATTTCTTCACCTGATAGTCGAGTGTTAACTTAAGTTCCTATTTCATATGGCTTTGAAAACACCTTCACCCAGTCAGTCAGTCAGGAGTAGATCCAAAGATGGTGCTAGACTGACTTTATATGTTTGTAGAGAGAAGCATCTCTCGCTGTGAATAATGTCATCGCCTTCACTCGTCTCACACTCTGCGTCACAATCATTCAAATTGTTTTTCTCTTTCGGCTGCTCTGCCGAGAAGATGTCTCGTGGTGGGGAACCTGGAAGCAGATAACAGATTGTTTTATCGAAAAGAACGGACGACTAATCACGTTCTCGTTTCCTTTATAGGTAAACGAGAACGATAGATTGTGGGGCGACGAGGGAGACTCCACTCTTCCCTCTCCGGGCCTGTCTGACCGTGGAGCCGAGCCCGTCCACCTGTCCCTGATGCTGGGCCTCGGTTGGCTGCTCCTGCTGCTGCTCTCCGACCAATAAGAGGCCTCGCTCACCGGGCCTCCATGGACCAAACGCCAAACCTGGTGGATGGGCGGGGGGGGGTTGGTGTGTGTGAGAGAGAGAGAGAGAGAGAGAGCCATTTCTATGTGTCAAAGGACGGTGGGGGAAAAGGGTCAACTCTGTCCTGCCCCGCTCCATCTGTCACAAAAAAAAAAAAACGAGGAAAAAAAAAAAAAAACCACACTTAATCTTTTTGTGAATCATGACTCAGAGCAGATGTGTTGTTTAGGCCACGCCCCTCAGGAGACCACAGAGAGGCGGCCGCTACCCAGGAAGTACACACCTCATTTCTTGCTTCATGCCTCCCCGAATACAGACTGCTGTACGACACACAAATGCAGACTTTGCTCATCTGAAAACAACGTCCACGCTACAGTGGAGAGGGCCAGAGGGACCAGAGGGTGTACAGTGACGAGACGCTGGTGAGGCAGCGCCAGAGAACTCTACACAATATATATATATATATATAAAGTTAAAAAAATACACTACATTTCGTTTTGGTCCCTGAACATTCCTTGGTGTAAAAGAAAACTATTAAATGTTAAGACCTTAGTCTCAGATGAACTGTGATGAAGTGTTCCATGAGATTTAAGGTGGACGTGTGTGTTCGTCTGCTCATTCAGCTTTGCTCTCGTTCTCTTGTTGTCACACTTTTATTACAGATGATTTGTTACCCAGAAAGCACATAATATATATCTCACTAATCACGATGAAGTTTTTTGACTGTTGTGTCTTAAGTGGCAGGATGAAAAGTTAATAAAGAATATATATATATATATAGAAAGAATTAAGTTGTTAATTGACATTCAAATAAGATTAAGAAAATCTCCCAAAGTCTGTAAAAGTGTTTTATTTTGTCAAACAAGGACCTACATTACTTATTAGCCTTCAAGAATTGTAATTCATATTAATTTTAAAGCTAGAAATAAGTTGAAGTATTCATGCATTAAGCCACGTGTGAGGGCCTGACAGACGTTTGAGTTTGTTCCTCTTCAGAAATGTAAAAAAAAAAGATGAAATTGTGTGGATTTTTGGTGATGCGACAAGAGATGGAAACAAGTTTATATTTTTTAACTATGTGGACTTTGCCGCAGAGAAAACAGATACCGATCGACAGGTTTGTGACACATCACGCTGGGCCGGTGAGAGAACAGACGGCGTGGGCTTTGATGCATGAACGAATGCGTCGCTCTCTGGAAAAACAAACTTGTGCGATGAAAGTGGTGACCCATGCCGGCCCCGCTACTGGCTGGGACTCTTTCCTCAACGTGGGACGGATTTACAATATGTACTGTGGAGAAGACCGAGGTCGGTTCGGCACAAAACAAGGAAATGTGTCGTCTTCAATACTGCCGTTGAATTCAGTTCTCTGAAGAAACACCTATTTGTTCCACTGCGTTAATAAATGACACAACATATGCTGATATTAACACGGAGACAGAACGTGTTGCCCCGAGCCACAAGCAGACCTGATGAAAATGACACATTCTAGTTCAAGTTGGACCTTAAAAAACCTCACGATATGAGCTCATGATGTTGTCATAACAGCTCAATACTTGTTGGATTTTGCCTGCCAAGTTCCACCCGAAGGAAAAAAACCTGTTAATTCTTCCTCACTGATGTCCATGTAGTTTGTAAGGATCTGAAAAACAATTCAACACAAACGGGCAGTTCACTCAAATCACAGCTATGTCCTCACCCACCCTCAGAGGTGCTGGTGAGACTTGCAGATATGTTTGGTTTTATTTGCCCAGGTTTTGAGATACTCTACTCTTACATTGCTGCTGCCATTCAAATACAATAAAGATCATTACATCTTCTCTTAAGAAAGTTGTTCTGTTGATACCAAAGCTCTGACTCATCTGTCACACACACACAGAGCAGCACTTTATTTCTCTACAGCATCTAAACATCCTTCCACATTCCTGAAGTTTTACTTGATATAGTCTCAAACATACAAGTAATTAAATGTAGTTATGGCCAGTAAACTGTTGACAATGTACACATCTAGCAGACATGAAGCAACATAAGCATTTATTTAGCCCCACAATAAACTCCAGTAACTCCTGAGGGAAATACCTCTTCATGCGCTAAGTGCTCGACCATGTTCTCCATGTCTGATGTTGGGCCGTTTGTTTTATCAGAGATGAAACAGCTGCGTGCTACAGCTGGAAAAGACACTAACGAGGGTGTTGACAGTGAATTTGCTGCTGTTGGTTTAAAAAAAAAAGACGCTGAGGGGAACTGCACAATCAAGTGTCTCTTTTAGCATTACAGAAGTCATTTGACTCATTGGTAATTAAAACAATGCCAAACACATTCTATAAATTGTATTGTGCGTTTAAAAACACATTGATTACAAACCTAGCCGGAAGATAACAGTAGTGATTTTACGGTTACAGTAGAACTCTAAATTTTTAAACGTGGTCTCAAGAAAGGGACAAACGGGTCTTTAAAGACTCCTTTCTGTTTCTTACAGAAGAAATAGTCCCTACTAAGCCTGGGCGCATACAAATAAATGCTCTGCATGGCTGATGAATTAGCAATAGATGCGAGTGAAAAACATGTTTGTGCTTTGGGTGAACAGATATTTAGAATTAAATTCTATATATATATATATATATATATATATATATATATATATATATACATACATACATACATACAGGTGCTGGTCATATAATTAGAATATCATCAAAAAGTTGATTTATTTCACTAATTCCATTCAAAAAGTGAAACTTGTCTATTATATTCATTCATTACACACAGACTGATATATTTCAAATGTTTATTTCTTTTAATTTTGATGATTATAACTGACAACTAAGGAAAATCCCAAATTCAGTATCTCAGAAAATTAGAATATTGTGAAAAGGTTCAATATTGAAGACACCTGGTGCCACACTCTAATCAGCTAATTAACTCTAAACACCTGCAAAGGCCTTTAAACGGTCTCTCAGTCTAGTTCTGTAGGCTACACAATCATGGGGAAGACTGCTGACTTGACAGTTGTCCAAAAGACGACCATTGACACCTTGCACAAGGAGGGCAAGACACAAAAGGTCATTGCAAAAGAGGCTGGCTGTTCACAGAGCTCTGTGTCCAAGCACATTAATAGAGAGGTGAAGGGAAGGAAAAGATGTGGTAGAAAAAAGTGTACAAGCAATAGGGATAACCGCACCCTGGAGAGGATTGTGAAACAAAACCCATTCAAAAATGTGGGGGAGATTCAGAAAGAGTGGACTGCAGCTGGAGTCAGTGCTTCAAGAACCACTACGCACAGACGTATGCAAGTCAGCTGTCGCATTCCTTGTGTCAAGCCACTCTTGAACAACAGACAGCGTCAGAAGCGTCTCGCCTGGGCTAAAGACAAAAAGGACTGGACTGCTGCTGAGTGGTCCAAAGTTATGTTCTCTGATGAAAGTAAATTTTGCATTTCCTTTGGAAATCAGGGTCCCAGAGTCTGGAGGAAGAGAGGAGAGACACACAATCCACGTTGCTTGAGGTCCAGTGTAAAGTTTCCACAGTCAGTGATGGTTTGGGGTGCTATGTCATCTGCTGGTGGTGGTCCACTGTGTTTTCTGAGGTCCAAGGTCAACGCAGCCGTATACCAGGAAGTTTTAGAGCACTTCATGCTTCCTGCTGCTGACCAACTTTATGGAGATGCAGATTTCATTTTCCAACAGGACTTGGCACCTGCACACAGTGCCAAAGCAACCAGTACCTGGTTTAAGGACCATGGTGTCCCTGTTCTTAATTGGCCAGCAAACTCGCCTGACCTTAACCCCATAGAACATCTATGGGGTATTGTGAAGAGGATGATGCGAAATGCCAGACCCAACAATGCAGAAGAGCTGAAGGCCACTATCAGAGCAACCTGGGCTCTCATAACACCTGAGCAGTGCCACAGACTGATCGACTCCATGCCACGCCGCATTGCTGCAGTAATTCAGGCAAAAGGAGCCCCAACTAAGTATTGAGTGCTGTACATGCTCATACTTTTCATGTTCATACTTTTCAGTTGGCCAAGATTTCTAAAAATCCTTTCTTTGTATTGGTCTGAAGTAATATTCTAATTTTCTGAGATACTGAATTTGGGATTTTCCTTAGTTGTCAGTTATAATCATCAAAATTAAAAGAAATAAACATTTGAAATATATCAGTCTGTGTGTAATGAATGAATATAATAGACAAGTTTCACTTTTTGAATGGAATTAGTGAAATAAATCAACTTTTTGATGATATATATATATATATATCACCAAAACTGCATTTCTGGTCACTGGACAACCTGCTCCCTCAGAATCGCAAATGTGACGCAGGTCACTTCCTGCACATGACACAGTAAATGAAGGTGAATTCAGATCAGTTCTCTGGTGCAGAAGGGAGAGACTTTAGAGACACCTCTCTGGAACTTTCTGGTCCCCTGATAAGATGTGACTCTTGACCCCCCCATCCAGATTCATCAGCTCTCTGTATCTCAGAGGCAGTACTTGCCCTTTTCCTCCCTCTAGCAGAGACCCTGGCATTAAGTTATAAAATACATTTTTCATCACACGGCGTGATTTGTAAAGATGTTATATTATAGTGTATATACTACACAGTGTATACCATATGATGTCTAAAACATTCGTACCGTGGGTAATTATAAAAATGGATTTTATTGAAGGTTTTGCTTTTGATGTGTCAGAGAGAAAATCACCGATTCTTACAACTTTACTGAGCACAAACTTGTGCATCAGAAACTTTAATAAATGAGACCCCTGGTGTAAACAGACAAAATGTGTGTTTCTTCTAACCCACTGTATACCTTGAGGCTATGGACATATTGCACATTGCTGCTGGAAAATGGGGGCAATAAGGTACCATATGTGAGCCACAAAATACTTTGTATTGTTGTCATTGTTCTTGGCAAAAATATGAAAAAGGTACCTGAAGGTAACCTGGCATAAATTAGAAAGCACTGCGTCATCATCTCACCCACGATGCTTATTGTGGCTAAACAAAAAGGCTCAGGCAGCCATCCTCTGAAAAGAGTGAGACTCCAGCTACCTGTTTGCCACCTGTGCTTTGCATATGGCGGCTGTAATAGATGCCGTTCTCCATGTTTTGGGTCAACAGCTAAGTGGGACAGAGCTCCTGCTGTGCCACATACTGTAGCTGTTGAGTCCATGGCTGCTCCTGCTGCATTGCTGATAAAAGAAACAATCTGACCACCAACAGGAAGCTGAGAGATCTTTGAAATATCTACAAACAGGGTTTCTTAACTTGTCCGTGACATGTTTCAAAAGTGCAGAGGGAGCACCAAATAAACTATATACATACTAAAGAGAAAGGTTTTTAAACTACTTCTCAACAACCCTGACAACTAAATTGTATTGTTTTGAATGAATAACTTACGTTATTTAATGTTTCTCTGCTGTTAGAGGTTTGTTTACTCCAGTAAAGTGTGTAAAAACATATCTTTATAGTCAATAGGTCAATAAAATGCATATATTTTTTAATCTAGTACATAGTTTATAAAGATTTACAACATGACAGCCTCCCAAAAGTGAAGCCAAAACATCCTGATTGTCCTGGCTGGCCAGTATAGGTCATAAGGCCCGCCCCCCTCCATGTAAGCAAATGGGATATGGGCAAAACTAAAGAAATCACATCAAATAAATTTCTCCCAAAGATAGTTTCTATCATTGTTAGTAGTTTTTAGTCACCCTGACGTATATTCAAGTGTTAATTTTTCTGATAGAAAGAGGGTGGAACACCGTGATTGACAGTGAAGAAGTCGACGCAGAGCTGGAGTATGTACTCAGAGTAGGAACATCGAGGAGGTGCAGCTCTAACTGTCAGTAACTGTGATCGTCTATTTCAAACATAAACTGTATATCAAGATCTTTATACAGTCTATGGTTCATACAGTCTATGGTACAGTATTAGTGAGTATACCTGCAACAGATGTGATGAACAAAATCAAACTAGATGACATCGAGAGAAGCAAACTATTTCCTTACTTTAGCAGAAATTAAAGGAGACATACAGTTGTGTGAAAAAGTGTTTGCCCCCTTCCTGATTTCTTATTTTTTTGCATGTTTGTCACACTTAAATGTTTCAGATCATCAAACAAATTTAAATATTAGACAAAGATAACACAAGTAAACACAAAATGCAGTTTTTAAATGAAGGTTTTTATTATTAAGGGAAAAAAAAATCCAAACCTACATGGCCCTGTGTGAAAAAGTGATTGCCCCCTAAACCTAATAACTGGTTGGGCCACCCTTAGCAGCAACAACTGCAATCAAGCGTTTGTGATAACTGGCAATGAGTCTTTTACAGCGCTGTAGAGGAATTTTGGCCCACTCATCTTTGCAGAATTGTTGTAATTCAGCCACATTGGAGGCTTTTCGAGCATGAACCGCCTTTTTAAGGTCATGCCACAGCATCTCAAATCGGATTCAGGTCGGGACTTTGACTAGGCCACTCCAAAGTCTTCATTTTGTTTTTCTTAAGCCATTCAGAGGTGGACTTGCTGGTGTGTTTTGGATCATTGTCCTGCTGCAGAACCCAAGTGCGCTTCAGCTTGAGGTCACGAACAGATGGCCGGACATTCTCCTTCAGGATTTTTTGGTAGACAGCAGAATACATGGTTCCATTTGCCACAGCAAGTCTTCCAGGTCCTGAAGCAGCAAAACAGCCCCAGACCATCACACTACCACCACCATATTTGACTGTTGGAATGATGTTCCTTTTCTGAAATGCCGTGTTACTTTTACGCCAGATGTAATGGGACATACACCTTCCAAAAAGTTCAACTTTTGTCTCGTCAGTCCAC